AGCTCTGAGTAGCTGAATTTGTTCTCTGCTGATCAGGAATTGCTCAGTTACCATCCCTGTTTGAACTGCCTTGTATTTTTTGAGGCCGGTTGTTAACTGTGGCTCACCTGCTTCAGTAACTGCAGAAAGTTTGGGCCAGGCTTAGACCACTTACAGTCACTTCTCTGGAAATCTCATTCTCAAATGTATGTGTCCATTTAGTAAAATAATGGGGCAGGGGAGCAGACTAGGGAGGGGAATGGTGGAGTTCTCTCATGTAAATGAAATTTTCAGACATTCGGTAGAACCCAGAGAATATTTAAGGTGTCCTTTACCTTAACGATAGAACATCTATAACATTGTAATGTAACTTGGTGAGCACTGCATACAACAATACTCTTTCTTTTGCAGCCTGCCAAGCTTGCAGAAGCTTTCAAATACTTTGTTCAAGGAATGGGATACAGTAAGTATTGATTTTATGGAATGGTTTGCTTGGCTACCACCAAAGTTTGTTGGGCATCTAAGCACCCAGAGAGCCTTCTGATCCCAGCTGTGTGATCTTTTCCCTGTTGGATATGCATTTGCAAGGGGAAAAAAAAACCTGTGGTGTCTGGGTGAAGGATTTTCGGACAAAATTATGTTAACATAGTAGAAAGCTTTGTAGACAGCTTATAGCTGCAAATACCTGCTTTACTTTGCCTTGATATTTTTAAGGAGTGTCCCCTCGTTGCATCACAAGATACAATTCATATAGTGTGCACAGTACTTAAAACCTCATGAGTTCAGAGGCTTCGTTGATTTGTAGCTGTTTGTCCTTCACGTACGTGCTCCTGACAACTGCTGTTGTGTAGATGCATGACTAGCCTGGGCTGCCAGCAAAGGTTAAATATCTGAAAGTAGTGGGAGGTCCAGTGAGTCTCTTTAGTTTTCCTCTGGATTGTTGCGGCCACAGCAACATGCCATAAAGCTGTCTTGAATCCCTCAGTCCTACATTGCTTTAGTAGTTTGGGGCTCCTTAACTGTATGCCTGGAGCAGTGGTACTTCATCTGCATGTGAAGCTACCATGAAAAGTATATATTCAACCTTGGAGGCTTCTGCAAGGTTGGTTAAGGCTGGAGAGGAAGGCAAGGGCTTCCTTCCAAGCCCATGAAGCAAGTCATTAATGAAAAACTCTTCTTCCAGTTCCCTCTGCTAGCATGACCAGGCTGATGAGGTCCCGCACTGCTTCTGGCTCCAGCGTAACCTCTTTGGAAGGACAGAGGAGCCGGTCTCACACTGGGGAAGGCACGAGGAGCCGGTCTCACACTGGGGAGGGAACGAGAAGCCGATCCCACACCGGGGACGGTGCCAGGAACCGCTCCCACACAGACACACGCATCGAGCTGACGCCAAACTCGGCAAGCAACGCTGAACAATCAAGCCCCAAGTCCATGGAAGTGTCCTGTTAGATGGCTGTGGGAGGTTCAAACTGGTCACAGTGTGAAAAAGTAATGGATGCCCCCTGTATCACAAAAACATAACTGGTATTAATCACAGGCTATTCTGTAGGATGAACTCTGTTCACCAGGGTCTGACAGGGACCAAAGAAAAGACGCATCTCATTTGCTCTATCGTTATTCTTGTAACTCAGACAGTTGCTGCTATTGTGCCCTCCTTCAATGGATGCCAAATTCTAAAGGATACTTGCCAAAAGCTGATGTGGTTGTAAACACTTCAGAGTCAAACGAGACTTGCTTAATATCCTCCATTAAAATCAAAGCTGTTAACATGCCCCTTTATCTCTTCTTCTCTTGAAGTAAACTGGCACAATTTGAGATGATTTTCAAAGAGGGGGAGAAAAAAAAAATAAATCACTGTTATGGATGGATGGCTTTTAAAAAAGGAAATGAAACAAATGTGTTACGGCCTCATGTTGAAGCTGGAGTTGAATTCATTGTATATAGCTTGACTTCAAATGATAGAGAAGTTAATGTATTGTGCATTTATAGGCCTTCTAATTCATTAGTATTCAAGCCTGTTTTCCTATGTACAATAATATACTACTAAAATAGGCGATTTTAATGTGACTTTGAGACGAACTAAATCTTTAAGCTTTTTTTATTTCACTTTTTTTGAGATTTAGTTCCAGTCTTCTTTTCCTTCCCCCATTCCAGACCCTGAAACCCACTTAGCCAGATGAGGACAGGATTTAAATTTAATAAGCAAGGTAGTATTTCCTGTTTGGGATCTCGGGCCAAAGGGGTTACCATACTGCAAAAGTTGGTGTAGTTGTAACAAGTAGGGTAGCCGTACATGCCAGCAAAGCAGAAACAGCTTGATTTTTCCTTCAGGCAGCTTCTTATCTTTGCAGCTCAAGTTTTTGTGTCCAGCACAATTGTGATAAATTTGGAATTCTGTAAGCAAAGCCAGATCCAGCTGTTCTTTGTCAGGAGAGATGAATAACTGTGGGATGGCATGTAATTAGATACTGTACATTCAACTCCCACTAATTACTAGATTTGAAACTCTGAGATCTCACTGGTGCTGAGAAGTGTATTCCACAAAGTGGTGGAGCAGCGACACTGTATCTGTGAAATACAGTGTTTAATGACTGCATAGATGTAATGATCTGCTGGTTCTGCATCTTTATGTAGCCTTCTGCCACCTTGAGTTGCTTTCTTTGATGCTAGTGGCTTGATACCTTTCAACCAGTCAGATTTTCACAGTTGGATGTTCTTGTTTGTCCTTCCATAGGTAGTGGGACAGGATTTCCCAAGCTCCAGTACATACCTGCTGCATTGCAGTCCTCACACAAACAAGAAAACTGAAATGCTGAGCAGTTAAATAGCAAATGTTAATACTTTGGGATTGCTTGTTCAGAAGAACACAGTCTAGGTTACTTTATATTGACTAACTGCAGCTCTTGTGTAGAATATCCATAACGGTTTGTGGGAAGAACAGACAATTTCCAGAAAGAATAAAGCTATTGTGTAAAGTCTATCAAGAAAAGTTTCTTAATGAAGTATTTGTATTTATTTCAAAACAAATAAATTTGTAACTTTGCAATGTCTGGTGTCTTACTGTTTTATCAGGAGTACAATATTCTTTCTCAGTCAGAGTATATTCTTTCCAGCCCTTTGTATGAATGAATTTTTTTTTTTGCTCATATCTCTGCCATTCCCTACTTTTGTGCTCAGAGCTTTTTTTTCCCCCACTTTTTCTTTGCCTCACGGGGTATAGTGTTGTCTAGTGTGTAGATCTGTAGTCTGGCCACTGACTTCCTCACGGGAGTTGGTGCCATGCTCATTGCATCCTTTCTGTTCCCAATCTGATCTGTAAATCCATTGACATATGACATGTTCCTCACCAGTCTCTGGAGGTATGTGGGCCTCTTGACTGAAAGTGCAGATGCCACTTTGAGTTTCTAAAGGCTGTTCTTGCAAAAATCTTAACTTCAGAAGAGAAAAGATAACCCTTCACAAATCAGTTTTAAAAGGACTCCCCAAATACAAGGAGAGGAATCTAAGGGTGCAGGAAAGAGTTAAAACAGTTTTATTTGCGTCCTTAAAGTAGAAATAGTTATCCTTTTTCACCTTAAGCTTCTGTTTATCTCAGCGGTTTCATGTTAAAAGATGGGGTTTTTGTTACTTGCACATTAGCTGCCCTTCACAGGGAAGCATCCCTTTGTGGATGTTTTATGGGGGGCTGGGAGCACTGATACTGTTCAGAGTGGGGGACAGTTGAGAGATAACAGAGCCCAATCCCCAAAATGGCTCTGCTGTGCTTTGTGCATTGGAACCTTAGTAAGGAGGATGTGGTGCTCTTGCCTAGTGACTTTAACATACGGGGGGTTTTGGGATCAGGTGGGTTTGGGGCTTTGCTGGAACTATTTTGGGCTGCTCCTTCCTCCTGTATCTCGAAAAATGCTGCGATAGGAAGAGGCAAAAGCAAATATTTGGCATGTCTGAGCCAAGGCTCTGCTAGATGTGATGATTCAGCAGTTGTGATTGAACTGATACCAACAAAGGTCTTGATTTGGTTAACCACAGCCTGTGCCAGTGAAAATGGGGGGGGGAGGGGAACCTCTGCCAACTCATCTTACAAAAGAAGGACAAAGTTATGCTCTTTGCTGAGCTTTTCTGGGAATGGCTAATCGTTCCTTCCACAAGGACACCATGGTGTGCCTGTCAAGCCTAGGCAGTTTATTTTTGTTTAACGGGGAGGAACGCATCCAAGCCTCCTTGCAGCACAAAGGGATCTGCGAGCACTTCAGAGCAGTGAGGAGTTGCTAGGACCACCATAAATGTCAGCTTTGCAACAGAAAGTATTCATTTGGCAAGGAACAGTGTGTACCTGTAGAGAAAAGCTGGAGGACAGAGTAGTGGTGTCTTACCTTTTACAAGGAATTAGACCTCCTCTTCCCCGCCAGTGCTGGTCTCCTGGCATGTTTAACTTGTGCTGCCACTGAAGAGATGCAAGCATCTTGCAGGATTATTAGAAATTGAAAAAAAAACCCAAAACAACAAAACCTTCCTAGAGCTTGCAAATGCTGAATTCTGCATTATTCTTGGAGACAGAATTAGCCTGGATACTGTAGTGTCATTAAAGCAGGAAAAATGAGCTGATACTTTTTCTTAAAGTATGAGTGGCCACCGCAGAGCAAGGAGCTCCTGTGGCACAGAGGAAATTCGGATTGATAACTGGAGGTTTCCAGAAAATAAACAGTTCACTCCTCGCAGTGTTTTTGGGGTTATAAAGGGTGGAAGAGGAGAGACTGTGCTCCTGGGGGCCAAGGTGTTTTCTGATTGCATTAATGTATCTCAATACCAAATCTTTGCTGTAGTGGTGCTCTTCAAAACTGCTGGTAGAAAGGATGTCACTGCTGAAATCTGAGTTCTTTCCACCTCCGTCTGGGCCTCGACATCTACTGTGTAAAAAGCTGGATGAACTTCAAGATGACTTTCCCCCTCCCTGTCCTTGCAGAGGAGGAGTGGGAAAGGATGTGCCAATACCATGTCGTCGCAGCAGGACTTTTGTGCTGAAGGATGCTGCTTTCCTCTTTAAAAGTCTTTAGAGGCTAAACAGCTGGAAACTTTAACCTAGATGTGTTTTGGGGGTTTGTGATTAATGTCATGTGTTGCAAGCGATGGACTGAGCTGGAGAGAAAACAGTTTATAGCAAAGCTGCTTATTTTTTTTCTCTCCAGTACTGGAATCCTCTTCCTGCCTGTTTTTACATCTTGGGCAGAGTATGTGTTGCAATCCTCGGTGTGCCGGTAACGCAGTCTGTTGTTTCTCCCAACACAACACATTGAGCAGTGTCTTGCAAGTGCCGCTTGCAACTGGTCCTCCCCCTTCCCACATGGTGTCTGTTTTTTTTTATTATTTTTTTTTTTTTTGCACTACTTTGCACTATTTCGCATTCACTTGAACCAAAAGTCTCTCCCGGTCTGTATATATGAACAGCTGTTTCGATGTGTGGATTTAGTGTTTCCACTGAGCCAAATATAGGCTTTATGTTGATAGCTGATCACTGCAATGCCTAATGTTTAAACAACTGACAGAAAGGATGTCAGGGTATTTTAAGAGATCAACCCTTCCCCCTCCGCCCTTTGTAATAGACAGACACAGCCTCTCACTGTTTCTATCTGTTGCTTCATTAAGGGCTCCATTCATTATATAAACAACACAGCTGCTGACCAGTGTTGGGGGAAAAAAAAAAGAAAAAAAGGCTTCTGATTGCAACTGCCAAACAGTTCAATGTCTGTTCCCTGCAACTCAGCGTGGGGATCGTTTGCTCACCCAGCACCTCCTGGGGACTGGAGGAGAGTTGTTATTTGGATTTAATTAAAGAAGTGGTCCCCCACCCCATACACCCTGTGTATTTTTGGCACTCATGGCTGTGGGATGTACATCAGGCACTGGATGCAGACATCACTGGGCATCTCCAGAGGAGCCCAAGGGTTGGGAAAGGGGATAGCAGGCAGCTCTTCCTTCCCAAGCAGCACCACCACGGTGAGCTGAAACCTGCAGCAGAGCCGGAAAAAATATCCTTGGGTGACCCGCCGCTCTCTGCAATTGCTTATGGCTGAAGTGGATTATGGTATTCAGGTCAAGGTCAGTGCGCTGGGGGAGGGAAGAGCTGTTTGCTGGGCAGTCACACTCAGGGAGGGCTAGGGCAGCTCCCGGCGAAGCCTGCATGAGCGACAGCACTCGGAAAACAGCAAGAGCTGCCACCAGCCTGGACTTTGCAGCCTTTGGCTCGGTGAGGGTGTCCCAGCGTGTGTGCACAAGTCCCCACAAGGCTCAGCACCTTGCACACAGCAGGATGGGCAGGGAAGATGAGGCTGTCGAGCTGTGGGTTTGCCCCACATGGCAGACCTGGCATTGGCACAGGGCATGGCCAACCTGCTCGCAGGGCTCGGCGAGCCTGCCCTGAGCAAAGGTGCCACCCAGCCCCTCACACGCCGGTGAGATGCATGCAGTCAGACCCCCTTGCCTTACCTCAGGCCTGCACTTGCATCTCCCCAGCTAGGAAATGGACATTTGTTGGTCGATTGCAATGGGTTTTCATTTATTCTTAACCAGTGACCAAATCCAGAAAGTCTTAGTTCTTTACCACCAGCTGCCAATGTTCAACTTTGATCCTGTGGTGATTCCCTCCTTGCTGCTCATGAAGGCTTGGGGCAAAGGAGATCCTACAGAAGTAGAGCCTAGCACAGGGTCAGCGCTTCATCTGGAAAGCGCGAAGTACTTAGGAGATGATGGGTTTCCCAGACTAGTCCAAACGCAGTGGCTGAGAAAGCAGCCAGGAAGCCCTTCATGCAAGATCGTGTGCTTGGCAGCTGCCACATGTTCAAGCAGAAGGTGCAGAAGCCAGATGGGAATTCTGGTGCCTGTACAGGCAGCAGGGAAATGTGCCACCTTTGCTAAAAGCTATTGCCAGAGACACAGTTGGCTGGAAAGTGCTTGGAAATGCAGAGGACTTC